TTTGAAAATTTCCTCCCTGATGCATCACTTTCCTCTCACTGATACATCTCTACTTGCCTCACGGATACATTTCTTCCCTCTCTAATACATTCATTCTCTCACGAATACATTCCTCCTCTCTCGAATACATTTCTATCCTATGTATGTGAATATCATATCCCCTCTCGGATACAGTCCTACCCTCTTGGATTCATCCCTTTTTGATGTATTTGGATATCTACTAATGTATCCAGAAGTCCAATGTTGCATCCAGAAGTCCAATGATGTAACCACATTCCATAAATTATAAGAGATTCTTGTATTTTTGAAAATAGTAGTGAACTAATGTTATTAGCACTTAACACTATGAGGTTGCTTGGTCTGAGGCTACAAATAAGTAGTGATGGGATAAGAAAATAGTGATCGTATACAAATTTTGTTTCTTGTTTGGTTGCTATGTTTGGGATAACTTATCTCAACATTTATACCATATTGATATGATAAGTGTTTTAATCGGAAAAGGAAAAATATTTCATTTGAAGAATTTTTGACTTTTTAAAGAGTCGCCACTTAATTTTTAAGGAAAATTAAGAAAAAGTATTGTTTTCAAATAACTTAAACAGAAAAATCGTTTGAAAACGCAAAAGGAGTTTGGGGATTCAAATTAATGTTTTAGGAAGGTGTTAGGCACCTAAACTATTCGTTTAAAACGGTAATCCGGCAACTAACTATTTGGCTAAAAATGTTTAATTTTATTATTTGAATTGGAAATCAATTTAGTATTTATTTTAAGAGTGTGATATTAGTCTATACTAATTAATCAGCGAAATTTACTTGATTCTTTTTAAGTTTTTTAAGATTGATCAATTTAATTTAAACCGCTAAAACATAGTGGCGCCTTGCGAGGATTTGCGAATTTCTAACCTTAAAACTAGCGGCAATTAAACAACAAACAAATAACGAGAAAGTAAAGAGAGAGAGAGAGAGAGAGAGAGAGGGAGGGAGGGTTGGGTCCAAGTCCGATTTATCTGTCCGCCTGGACTGATATTTGGACCTACTTTCTTCTGGGTTTTGACCCATTTGACTTTTTGGGTTTTTAATCCATTTTCTTTTTGGTTTTTTGACCCATTTCCTTTCGTACCTGTCCTAGTCTAAACAAATAATAAATACAAAAAGATTAAAAAAAACGACGAGGCTTATGCCCAAAATAAATACAATACGATAAAATAAATTTGGGTTAATTATCCCAATCTCTTCAACTCTTTCGACTCAATTTCCTTCGCTTGGGATCTATACGTCAATTTTAAGGGTTGACTCGATGAAATCGTCATTGAGCCTTCTTGGCCCATGAGAGTGGAAAGAAGAGGCGTTGGAGTTCCATGAACTCACTCAAAATCACATGCAATGATAAAAGAAGAAAAGGATTAATATCCATATTATAAATATAATGAAGCTAAGTTTTTAATGAGATTATTATCATTTAATTTGGTTAATCTATTAATTAATTATTTGACATGTGCAAGAAGCGTTGACTTCACATGCACGAATTTTTGTTCCTTCTTTTTTTTTTTTGGTTAATGTTGTCTAGTTTTGACTTTTATTACAAAATAAGAAAATAAATATTTTTATCTATTATATTTTTAACTTATTTTGAAAGTTAATATTTTTCAAAGAGGTATACATCTTTAGGTGCACAATTCACATTTATATAGTAAAATATCATTACAATTTAGGTGGTTTGATTGACGCTTCGAGAATCAAATTAACTAATATTCGAATATAATTTTTTTTATCTCATTTTTTTTAGAATACAACTCATATATCATTCAACTAATAATTAGGATATGTAAGTCTAAAATGAATATATGAAAATTTCAATCTAAGTCTGATAAGGAATGCATACATAAAATTAAACGTTATATCTGTTTACATCCCTACTCTTTCGAAATAGGGCGAAACATCGCAGCAACTCGAAAAACAATTAATTGATTCAATTTTAACAAAGTTTTAAAAATAAAGGAAGTTTTAAAAAAGAGTCGCCACCTAATTTTAGGAAAAAACTAGGAAACCATTAAATGATTTACGAAACCAGTTCGATTCTAGGTAAGGGGTTCAAGTTATTCCGAAGGAAAGGGGTTAGGCACCCTTCGAAATCCACAAATGTGGTTCCCGACTGAATTAATTTTTTTTTCAAATTGAGGAAGAATATAAAATAATATACAAGTATAATAAACATTCAATATGCACAATAAAATAAAATAATAATTATCGGCCTAAGGTTTGCCTAACGTCAATATTTACAAAATAATGAAATAGTATAATTCGAGCTTTTTCGAATGGCTTCGAGGAAGCAAGTTTTGGATACCTGTCAACACACTTAATAAAAGTGTTAGTTAAGAATAAATATGAGTAAAAATGAATAACTCAAATAATAACTAAAAAATAAAAAATCCGTCTTATTAACATGGGAGGCCTTGGGAATCGACGGTAATTTCTTCATCGGCCAATTTCAACAGCTAAAAATATATATAAACTTGAATAAGATTTCCGTCTTTTAAAATGGGGAGGCCTCTAAACCCAACGAATAGATTTTTCATCGGCCCTTTTCAACATATAAAATATATAAACTGAACAATTACAAAACATAACAAACTTATCCCGAGAGAATATGAAAAACAACAACCAAACTAAAATAATATAATTAGAAATGGAAACAACGATAATATAATATATATAAAAATTAAAAATAACATTAAAGTAGAATAATAACAAAACCCTGAAAAGTTAAGATAGCAAATAGTTGACTAACAATTTTAAAATAATAGTAATAATAAATAAACATTGAATCGTAAAATAATGCTAATATTAAAACTACAATAAACACAAATATTAATTGACTTTTAGAACTACATTAAACTAAAAAAAACAAAACAAGCTACATATAATAAACATAAAACATAAAAGAGCTAAGAATTAAATAAAACAAGGCTAAAAAAAAATTTACCTACTCCACCTCCTCAACTCGAAAAACCACAAAAACACTTCAAATTTTTTGAACTATGGGAACAAAGAATTCTCAAAATTTTATGAGTATTCTTTTGTTTTTTCCCTCCAAATCCTCCCTTAAAAATAGTGAATGAAGTGGGCTTATATAGAAACCCAAAAATCCTCAAAAAGGATGAAATACCGATGTGGACTATTGCAAAATTGAAAATTGTTTGAGAGACAATGTGGGAAAGGCGTTTTTTTTATTTTTGTATTTGACTCAAAATGTATGAATTTTAAAATGTTAGGCCAAAATTGGGTGTCAACAATATCAATAAAATATTATAAAAACCTTGTTAGTAAAATAGTTTTTTTTCATATAAAATAATATTTTGAACATTTTTACCGTAATAAGGTAATATCATTTATCATATGACTATATTTTGCACGCAAATACTTTGAGAATCTAATATAACGCAATTTGAAATAGTTTATATAGAGTAGTAAATATATAGTTTAGGAAAATATTTTATTTTATTTTATTATAGAAATTTATTATTGTTAGCGATCAAATAACTAATACTTTCTTATTTTTTGAAACCGTGCTAAATATTATATCATGGGAGTGCTTATCAATTCAAATATACTGATTAATTTATGAAAGTAAAAGATGTATATTAAGTTAATATGAATAAACGAAATTATAATGGCAAGCATGTAATAAATATTAATTAAATAAGCAACCAAATTCTATGAGTTGTTGTGATTTAGTTGAATTAAGATAGGAGTCTTATTTTTTAGTCTGAATAGTGTCAAAGGTGTGTTACAAATCTGATTCATTCAGATATACTCAGATCCATTAAGAGACTTATAAGAAAATAAAATAAACTAACTTAATGAACTGAATTTGAATATTTAGATCCAGCTCATAAAAATAAACACACTTAATGAGGCAAATTTGAATGATTAAGATTCAAACCCATTAAGTGAAAACAAATAAAGCCTAACATAATGTAATATTGTTTTGTCGATATTTATGATAATATTTTTAAATTATAATTTATAATTTAATTTAATAATTATAAAAAAAATATAATTTTCTAAAAAATGGGCTGACCCAGCAAGCCTGTAGCCCACGTACTTGTGAATGGGCCGACCATTTCTTGACCCACACCAAAAATGGGCTAGCCCGACCTAGCCCGTAAAATGTCAAAACCTGTGTGTGTTAGCCCGAATGGGGTGGGCTAACCCATAATGACAGCTCTAGAATAAAGCTCCAAAATTTACTACATTTGGCTTAGAAAAGAAATAGCACTCACATTTCGAATCTCACCAAAAAATTTCTATATATACATATACATAAAATCAGTAAGATAAATATGCTTCTCTTGGACTTTTTTATTTTATATATATAAGAGTGTTTTACAAATGCAACTTGACAATTATAACATGTTCTCAAAATAAATGTTGACACCCAATTTTGACCCTCGTCGGTATAAGTTAATTAGTTTTTTAAATCTTGCAAAAATAAAATATATGTACATATATACATATATGTATATACATATATGTATATGTATATATGTATATCTTAAACCCATTCCTTTACCCATCAGCCCACTCTTATTCCCAGGCCCAAAAACCCCTCAACCCAACACTAACTTAAATATCCCAGGCCCAAATCCCTCATGCCAGCCCACTAGAATAATTCCTAATCCAGCCCACACCAATTACTCCCCTCCGTTCGGCCCACCTAAAATCGACCCAACCCTTTATTATTTAAACCGACCCAGCCCAGTCCCCTAACGACCCGGATCCGACCA